AAAAGTCAACAATAATGATTACATATGGGACGAAAGAGGCATGATTGATCTTATTAAAATTCAACATTGTCGTTCTCGTCAATTGATGAGGAAGTAAATTTACTTATATTCTTCGAGGTCATTTCCTCTTTTTCTTGAAGATATAAGAAAGGAGCTTTTTGTCATCCTTTTTTGAGAGAATGGAGAAGCCTCCGAATTGAGAGCTTTTGGCTATATATAGTTGAGGCCCTTTTATCCTTTGTTTGTCTCAGCATTTTCTTGTCACTAATGTGTCCTGGTCGTGATTTTAGACATTACTCTTTTCGATTCGTCGGATATCACAGAGGAGAAATGAAGTGGGCTCTATTGACTTTCACTGCCCAGTTACTGAGGCAGGGTGTCGGACAACCTGGTCGTGGTGGTCAGATTTTGACCAATACAAGCACCAAGGGAGATATTTATCTCCGTAATTCAAAACTAATTTTAGATTACAACTATTTACAAGAGGCCATGGTGACAATTATATATTCTTTTTTGTGAAAATTATAAAGTATAGCCACTCTAAAAAGTACTAGTTGCAATTTTTTTTATATTAGTATATAAAATACAAAGATAGGCATATTTTATCCATAATCAATGTATATTTTTTGTATATTAGTTAGCAGATATAATTATTTTTGCTTTTTCGTAAGTTCTTTTGTCACGGTAGGTGACCTAAATGAGATTATATAATAACACATTTTCCTTAACTCAACATGTATCGGTCATTGCTCTCCAGTTTTGGGACGTGATCGTATTTTTTCGGCCTCAAAAATTTTTTTTTCCCCAAAAAAGAGGAAATATAACAGTAAAAGAATAAAACGAGAATATCAAATTCCACAAAACATACTGTTTCATTTGCGGTGGCGTACAAATTTATGTACGTAACTTTCTTGGTTGGGTAGCAAACATATGCGAAAGCAATAATTAAATTGACAAACTATCTGCCATTGTTAAGTCCATCATACGAAGTTTAGAATTAAAGGCAAAAATGCAATTGAAATTTTTTAGAAGTCGGCACTTGAAAATTTTCAATAATAAATATATAAATACATTTGGCACAAATCACAATCACAATTAACAAACCTTTCCCTTTTCTTAATACCTTAATAGAACACGTACCCTAATAGACTCTAGCTTTAGGCTGCCATTATTGTGAGACCATAATTATGTTTAAGGAATGAGGACCACAATTAGTCTTAATCAGTTAAAATAAAAATGTAACAGAAAAAAAGACTGTTACGTGATTGGTCAACTTTTATAAAAGTAGGACAAAGTCCAAACGTATATGTGAATTTCGTGAAATGTAGTCACAAATAATCGAGGAACAAAGTTTAGTACTAGATCTAATAATTAAAAAGTTTAATTCGAAACAAAAAAAGGTGGATTTCTTTTTATTTATTTGGCAAATTGTCATTAGTAAATATATGAAAAGTAATATTTACTTGGCTAATTGTTTTTTTTTAAATAATTAAAGTAATTGGTTTTTTTGATTTATTTGGCTAATTGGTTTCTTTTATCTTCTAAAATAATTTACAACGTTCATCGCGTGAAAATAACATGTCTGCATTAAAAATTAGAGCCTATCAAACATGCTTTATTCTCAATTGAAAAATATAAAGAAAGTGAGAAAATTTAAAAACTCGTGTCAAATATCTTTACATTAGAAATTATTTGGTGCATATATCCCTGAAAAGCATGTGAAATAGGAACTTTGTGGTGATTGGAGAATGGTAATGTATTAATTTTCTTATAATTTCATTGTCATTAGTCTGTAATTTGAGCCCCCATAGGCTATACTAAGCTACCTACTTATTTTTTTAAAGTTCCATATGATACACAACTCACAAATTCTTTTCAATTAGGTTAGGAAATGGTCTATTCTTGATTTTAGTAGGCTACATTAGCTTCTTTTTAAAAAAAAATATAAAAAAATCTGAGCAAATTCTAAGATTAAGGATAAAGTAGTTTTCTTTAACCATATTATAAACCCATTTGGGAAACACTATGTGATTGATCAAGGACATGTGATATATATAGTGAAAGTAAACGAAGAAAAAAGAAATCATGAAAGAGGCATGACGATATTTTCAGAATTACTTGCATTTTTACAAGGTTTATGTATAACAAAGAAAAATAACTTATACTACGGCAAATTACTTGCACTTCTAAAAGGTTTTTATAACGAAGAAAAAATAACTTATACTACCACTTAAAGTTGATGTGAAATTACATGTTGTACTTACTCTACTCGAGCATAATAATTTTTTATATCGACATATATTTGATGGTTGTAAATTACTTATTTTTAATGTGGACATGTCGAAGATTAGTCGGTCTTACCAAGAGGCCAACAAAGTTGTTGACGGCTCACAAAATGTGAAAATTTAAATTATTATAACGACAATACAAATAGCATGTTTGCTAGGCTTTTTGATAGCTAAAAGTACTTTTATTTTCTTTTGAAAATGCAATATTTTTGGAAATTTAATGTGTTAATTAGTCGAAAAAGGAAAAGTGATTTTGAGCTGCATTGGGGTTTTGACACAGTTACCCACAAAAACAAACTATTTACCCTTATTTACCCATTTATTTTTCTACCCATAAACTAACTATATTTCCTACTCATAGTAGTTTTTGTGGGGAATTTTTTCTTTATTCTCCAATTCTTTTTTATTTCTATGCTTCTTTTCTTTTTTTTTCTCTTTTCTCCTTTTCTTTTTTCTCGGTTTCTTCTTCTATTTTTTTCTTTTTTCCTTTTCTAATTTCATTTAACTTCTTTTTTTATATTCTTTTTCTCTTCATAATCTAATTTCATTTACTGTTTTCACTATTTTTTATTATTCTTTTTTTATACTATTACTAAAGAAAAATCAAATTGTGTATCTATTAAATGTAGCTAATACAATCAAAAAATATTAACTAACATATGATACCAGTATAGTATATAGTTATACCAACAGGGTATACAATTGTACGCAAAGAGTTAAAAAAATTAATTCAATTATTAAACTGAAATAATATCAGTTGTCAATAAAAATTTCTAAAAGGATCTAATTGTAAGTATGTTGTTACATTATATATCATACTATAATTTTATTTTATTTTGCATTTTCAGTTTGCCCCTCACGCTGGGTAAAAACTTAAAGCAAATTAAAAGAGAAAAGACAAGTGAATTTACGTGTAATAAGTATACTATTATAGTATATTGTATACTATTACAACATACTGTTACAGTATATTGCATATTATTATAGTATACTATAATACTATATTGTATACTATAATAGTATATTGTTGCATTGCAGTATAACTATATACTCCTATAGTATATTGTATACTGTAGCGGTATACTGTTAGGTAAATGTGTTCTTCTTTGATTATTACCATATACCATTGTAGTATATTGTAAATTATAATAGTATACTATTGCAGTATAGCTATATACTCCTACAACATATTGTATACCGTAACAGTATATTGTAGTTGTGTTCTTCTTCCATTTTCAACTAAAAAATTCAATCTCAATCACCTCAAATCAGCTCCAAATGCTATCAAATTTCAGTATGAACTTCCAGAAGGTACTATAAGCAATATTTAACAATACCCACTTTGAATCAAACAAGAAATCTTCAAAATAAAAATTTTAAATTCAAGGGCCAAGGCAAGAGAAAGAGTTAGGGAAAGAACAATCAAGAAAAAGTGGAGTAGAATTGAAACTTGCCAGAAGTCAACTTCTCAAATAATCATATCTAATTTCTTTTTGAATAAGGATATAAGGGAAATGGAAGAGTTTGTCCAAGTCTTCTTCACGGAGGCGAACTTTATCCAAGTCATTGATATCTGGGTGTGTCAAAAGGAAGAGTTTGTGCGCAAGAACTAGTTGGGGTTGTTGTGTTCCTTCTTCCGCATCCATGGCTACCTTTTTCTTTGCTATTTCTTGGTTTTTTTGCTTCACTGTATTTCAGATTCTTTCTTGTGGAAGAGTTTATACAAAACCCGAGTAAATAGTTTGGGGCGCATGGATATGAGTAGTAAATAGTTTGGGCCTGAACATTAAAGAGTAAATAATTTGAAATTGATGGATATAAAGTTATATTTTCACAAATAATTTTTTGATGTGGAAAAGAGAGTACAAATTACTCAAAAGGAGAAGCATAAAAAGAAAATTAATTTCAAGACCAAAATAAACTTGTTAGTAATATTATTTATAATACTACCGCTTATTGATTTCTAATGAAAAATAAACTATTAGAACATTGTCCTCAGGGGCGGAGGTAGAGTGCGGGATGCGAGTTCGGCCGAATTCAATATTTTTTTTTCAAACTATGTATTTGTTTTGAAATCCATTGAATATGTACAACTTATTAATTTAAAATCCAGTAACTTAAAAGGATTATAATTCCAAATCCATAAGGTTCAAATCCTGGCTCCACCTCTGTTCCATTCTCCTCCATAGTGGTTTTACCATTATCTTCGCTAACTCTTTCTTTGTGTATATCTAACCAAATCTCAAATAAAAAGTGAAACATTTTAATTATATAAATTGAAAATTTTAGTTAAAGTCCCTAATAATAAATAAGTAAAGCATTATTCTTTTAAATAATATCACTTGCAAGGTAAATATACACATGTCCTTTTTTCATAATTTGATGATTAAAATTGCATTTGAAAAGATCAGTCAAGCATAAATTGTTGTTCTAATACGGACACAAATACTTGTGTTATTTGACCAAATACAATCTATTAGAATCATTTCAAATAATTTTTATTATTAGGTTGTTGGATAAGGATGACACTGCTGGTAGTAGCTACAACTTGAGTGTCCCTTTTTATAATAGCAATATATTTTATGAGATAATTATTACTCATACATGTAATATATTCTTTAAAAAAACAAATAAATTTAAATATTATACCCTTCTGAAAAATATCGGAAAGATATTTAGGCAGAATTCTCTGTTATAATATTCTCAAAAGAGTAATAAAAGGGAGAAAGCAAATTGTAAACTGCGGAAATCTTCCACATTACGAAAGCGGGTTGTTAAGAAAATTCTCACGCATCTCTTCCATACTGATCACCACCGCACTCGGCCATTCACCGTCTTCACTCCACCACTTTACATCACCGGCGACCACCGCATCACCACCGGGACTAATAATGAATTGACACAATTGCCTCCCCCTCAAAACAAAAAAAAACTGCCAAATCGCATGGGCGCATCATTATCTAACCTGACGGAAAACGGGTCAGCCGACGGCAGACCAGGGCTAGGTGATATACCGGAAAGTTGCGTGGCGTGCGTTTTCATGTACCTAACGCCGCCGGAGATTTGTAACCTTGCTCGTCTCAATCGTGCTTTTCGTGGTGCTGCTTCTTCTGACGCTGTTTGGGAATCTAAACTTCCTTGTAATTACCACCAACTGCTCGACCTTTTGCCTCGGCAAAATTACGAGGGTCTCTGTAAGAAAGACATATTTGCGCTCCTCGCTCGTTCCGTCCCGTTTGATGATGGCAATAAGGCATGTTGAATTTTTTGTGAAGTTCCTTATTTCTGCTGACATTTATTTCTGAAGGATAATTTATAAATGATGGGGTTTTTGGGTCAAAATTGATGCTGGGGCTGCTCCGTAGTTGTCATTTGATGTTTTAGCTGATATATGAAGTATGTAGTATGCAAGTTTAGTTTTCAAGTTGAACTGGAGTAGTACCACCAAAGATTGTGGTGGGGTGGTAGTACCCCTCCGTCCTTAACCAGATTTGGGTTTGAGCCTGGAATGGAGTTGCCTTGGTAGGGATTTCTTTACTCCTAAAAGTGGGACTTCCAATGCGAATCCAGATTAGTCGTGCCCCAAAGTAGGTATGGAGCATTTGCTGGAAAACCACACACACACACACAAAATAGAGTGGTAATATTTGTTGTGGTTAACATTCGTACTTTATGCTGCTTCCTTTGCCCTTCTGCCTTTTGAATGTGGAACAGTGATAACACTGATGAGTTATTTACTCATATTTTAATTATTTTTTTTATAGTTTTTTCCCCATATCTTCCCTGACCAAATGGGTAAGTGGTGTTGGCTAACGATAAGTATGGTTTTCTCTAAATTGATAAAGGTTGTGTCTAGGCCAACCTGCTATGACTATTAGTTTTTGGGTACGGTATTTTTCTATTGTGTTCACTTTGCTTGTATGGGGAAGGATTATGAAATGTAAAGTTACCACTGCTTAATTTCTCTGTGTGTACTGTTCACCTCACTCTTGCTCTTGAGGTCTGGGAAAGAAAGTTTGAGGAATAAGTTGATCTTCTTGTAGCAGTTGAATTTGGTATATTTTATGAGTTCAATTTTAGCTACAATGTTTTGGAGTGATGTTTGATCTCACTAAGATGTATGTTTTTTATGGGGGAGAATATGCAGGAAGTATGGTTGGACAGAATAAGTGGAAGGATTTGCATGTCGATATCCTCGAAAGCGATGTCGATAACTGGTATGGAAGACAGGAGACACTGGAACTGGTTTCCTACACAAGAATCAAGGTTAGATTAGTCGGTTGAAACCCTTGTGTAACAATGTTGTTTAAGCTTATTGCTGCAGTGATGAAATGATTTTGAAGTTTTGAACTGATTGGATATCCACTTCTGAAATGATATTAGTAGCTAGTTTTTTTCCTAATCAATTGGGCTAAGTACGTATTTTGGGATTTCCCCATGCATCACAGGATAAAATTATTATGAGCAATACATGTTAAAATAAGTTTTTCTTTTAATGTTTTATATGATTTTTGAAAATATTGGTGGTATCAGACCAGCTTATGCTGACCTAGACTAGTCCACTGACCACTGGGCAACCTATTTAGCCCACAAGCATAGGTTGCCAATGTAACCATGCCTACTAAGGTTGGAGCAGACCAAGTGTTATAGAAGAAATTTGGACCTAAAATTTCCAAGTTGTTCCTCCCTTGCCTCAATCACTAGGCCATTCTCTTGGGGACATGTGCAAAAGAGGTCTATGTGTTCACCGAGAGGCAAAAATGGACAAAACAAACTCAATTGGAGTAGTCATTATTTAGCTTCACTTTCAGCCTTCTCTCTAAACCCGAGTGCTGGGGCGGATTTTTAAGTGGAAAATTTTCTTATTTACTTGCCAGTATATGGTGTTGACATCGCTTGACTTACAGTGCCCTCAGCTTTTTTGCCTGATTAGAGTTATTAGTGGGCTGCTTTCGACATCTTTTTCTAACAGATGAGGTTGTACTTGGAAGAGCAAAATTTGACTGATTTAGCATCTTTTTCGGACAAATCATGGCAAATGCAATAAAATATTTTCCATTTTAAGTAATGATACCTCTTCCAATTTCTGGTTAGAACGAGATATCTGATGTGTATTAGTTGCATCTATGGGAAAATGGCTGTTATGTTGTCATATTTTGATTTATTTTATTGAATATGTCATTGTCTTGAAAATTCATAACTGAGAATTGGATAAATTAAGAACATTAAGATTTTAATGGATGTGTCTTATTTAATGCTCATAGTCTGGAAGTGTGCTTGGTGGTTTGGCAACTCACTTCTGTGGCAATTGAAGCCTTTAACTTGTCAGGCCTGCTCTGTTGTATAAAGCACCAAATCAATCCGTTAATTAATCTTTTCTATCAAATATACGATCAGCATTAACTCGTTTATCTTATTTACTTACTGGTGTAGCTAGAAGCAGCATGTGAAACTATGGTCTATGTATTAGCAATATGAAAATGTGGTAATGGATTTGAATGCTCAATGCCTAACACTTCCATCTTGCATCTTCTTTGCATCAATATCCATGGTATATTCCTGAATGAACTGGAACATGAAATGAATTTATAAGAACACCAGTTGCTCATCCAGTTGAGAAATTGTTGAAGCAATGTTCTTAAAGGATCTGAAAGCGCTTTTTCCCTGAAGAAACAAGAAGACAGCAGACCCGTGCAACGAACTGGTCTTGTAGAGTATTTCCTTTTTCCCTCTTTAAATAAGTCATGTAGCCTTGACTCTGAGTGCATTTACATGGATTTTCATCATCAATTGATAGGTTGAAGTAGTTAGATAGAACTGTACATAATAGGGAAAAGAAAGAAAAAAATAAGATCGAATTGTGGACCCAGGATTATAAGCTGTAGTTGGGACGTTTTTCTGCTTTCGTAGCTACATGACTTTTTGACTTAGCTGTGTTAGGATTTTATTGGAGCATTTGTCTGTTCAAAATGTCAAATATTATTTTTCTGGTAAAACTGAAGTTAACTTACATATTGTTTTTTTGGCTAATTTTGATTCATACTAGCTGACTGAATAATGGCAGCAATTGCCTTCTTAGGACTCAACCTTTCGACAATGAACTCACTTTCTTGAGAANGGATATCGTAAACTTTGACAATTTTTCTTGCAGGTTCCATGTTGTGGCATATTGCCAGCAGGTATGGTGGTTTGAATTAAGCGGCACGGTGAAGTTTCCTTTTCCTCCTGATATATACACACTAACATTCAGAGTTCACCTTGGGAAAATTTTCAAAAGACTCGGCCGGCGTGCTTGCAACTTTGAGCATACTCATGGATGGGATTTGGGGCCAGTACGGTTTGAACTGTCTACTTCTGATGGGCAATATGCAGTTAGTGAGTTCTTTCTAGATGACATTGGGCAAGATGATGCAAATGGGAATATCAAGCGTGGGAGCTGGATTGAGTACAAGGTGGGTGAATTTATTGTCAGTTCGTCAGATCCGGTGACTGAAGTTAGATTTTCAATGAAACAGATTGACTGCACACATTCCAAAGGTGGGCTTTGTGTAGATTCTGTATCAATTACCCCCAGTGATCTGAAAGTCCATACAAGCAAAGGGGTTTGAAGTATCTGTAAGTGACATGTTTTCTTGTCAATGCTCCCAGAAAAAAATTTGTTGGGTTTGCCGCCTTAAAACCTCTCTTTTGTGGAGAATGTCATTGTAAATTTTTTGCCTTAGGTGTGTCGGTCTTTCTCCATGTAAATGTTACTGTTATGTACTTGATCCAGTTTTGTTGCATAGAATAGAATACGTTTTGCAGAAGATCAAGAAAATATACTTTGCTCATTTTCATTAGAGAAAAGTTCTAGCTGTTTTGTCATTTTATGTACAGAAAAATATGATTCATTTCTTCCACTTCTATAGAACATTTCAGCACTTTAAGTTCTCAACTTTGTAGAATCCTCCCTTCGTTCTCTCTACTACACTTATGTTGTATTATTGTTTACTATAGTCTTTCTGTTATGTGATTTTTGGTTATTATGACATCTTGATCATTAACAACCTTTTCTATGTGCTGGATTCACTTGCATTTAATGGTAAGTCAATGTGCTCTGAACTGCAGGAAAGCTGTCTCTGATTGTTACATGAGATGGCCATAGTTTTCTTCTCTTCTTATCATTCTATAGTTGGGACATTACAGGCTGCTTGACTAATCCTTGTTCCAATTTAGACTTAATGCTAGCTTATCTCCCCC